TTAAAAAAAATATTTACGGAACTAGAGCGACTTGACACTGTAGTTGAAATTACTGCTGAAACTTGCGGGTGTCAACTTCGTACAAGTTGTGGGTTACCATGTGCGCACGAACTTAACTTCTATATGAAAGAAGACTTGTTTATTCCATTACAAGAAATTGATGTCTTCTGGAGGACTTTAGATATTCCTGACCCTACAGTAGAGGAGGAGGATGATGTAACTTGTGATGCTGAGCTTGAAAGGTTCAAAAAAGGTTTTGCAGATCAGCCAAAGTCAGGGAAGGTCTCATTTTTGAGAAAACTTAGGGGGATTTTTGAACCATCGACCTATATTGTTGGTGAACCTTCTGTTCACAAAAATATCCGTGGTCGTCCAAGTTCAAAATCCAGCAAGGACAAACAAGTGTTGCCTAATGAAAGTCGTAGACATAGTTGTTCATCGTATAGACCAGCCGTTCAGTCTGAATTGAACGAGCCACCACGACACAGTGAATATGTCTACCGCGATCTGCCACCCAAGGTTGATCCACCACAGTGTAGCTCATATATGCCTTTTTCTTTTGATTTGAATGATCTGCCACCTATGTCCGAGCAGAACTTTGTTTATCAAGACCCGGCACCATCAACTCAATATGGTTATGATCATTACGAACTGCCACAACAAAACGAATATTATTATCAGCAGCCAATAATGGAGGTATTGTTATTTTATACTTTATTTTTTTATAAAAAGATACAATCTAGTTGTCAATTAAAATTTCTTTTATCTTATATTTTTTTTTAGGAACCGACACGGTATACACATCCACTGATTCATGAAATTCCATCTTTCTTTCAACCATATGTCATCGGGATTGAAGATGTTGAAGGCGATGGAAATTGTGGTTTTCGGTCAGTAGCTGTTGCTATTGGTCGAGATCAACATGATTGGCCATCGATTCGTCATGAATTATTGCAGGAATTGCATACCAATAAAAAACACTATAAAATTTTTTTTGGTGATTATTATAAGGTTGTGGAATACTCCTTCAAATTTCAAGGCATTGGATTTGCACCGATTGAGCATTGGATAAAAATGCCCGAAACTGGTCTCGTGATCGCGAACAAGTACAACTGCATTTTTTATTTTTTAACAGATGCAGGTAGTTACACATTCTTTCCGCTTTGGACAAGTCCACAAGCTCCAGAACTAAATCAATCCATAGCAATTGCATTTGTTCATGGAAATCATTTTGTGAAAGTGGATTTGCAAAATGGACATCCAATGCCCAAAGTTTCTCCGTATAAAAGTGTCTGTATGAAAGAATGGAGACAAATGTATAAGGATCGTCTACAATTGTAATAATACAAAAAAAAATGTATTTATTTATAATATTGGTCAAATCATGCCTTTATTTTTATTTATTTTAAAAATAATTGTTAAATCATGTAATGATTTTGAAATCATTTAATAACTAATAGTCAAATCATATAATAATTTAAAAGTCACATCACGTAATGATTCAGTAATGATTAAAGTAATTAAAGGATAATTAGAGAGGGGTGTACAATTAAAAATTTAGGGGGTGTACAATTTGAGAAAACATGGTTTGTAGTAGCTGCAGAGAAAAAAACTATGACAAATTTGACAGCGATATGACTCTGGTGTTTAGGCTCTTTTCCCACTGCACACACACTGAATGTGTGTTTGTGCGTGTGGGCTCATGGAATTTGATTTTCTCGATGCAAGAAAAAAACATTAAAAAAAGAAGAAGTTGAATTAGTAGTCCTATAGGCTAGAAGCCTGCAGTCGCTTTGAAAGTAGAAACCAGAGGAAAAAGTGCACATCCTTTACGATAAAGGGCCCTAATGCAAAAAATCTCTGCATTTTTGTGTGTTTTGTTTGTCACTTAATGCATAAAAAAAAAATTAATGGTCATTTTCTTGCTTATTTATGCTCACCCCTTTCATTTTACTCATTCTTGATCTTTTTTTATGGTTCTTGATAGGTTCTAGCTTCAACCCATTAAAGCTAATAAAGCACTTGAGGATTTTTTGTTATAAGAAGTAACTAATTAGTATTTTTTTTTCTCTTGTATTTAATTTCTTTATGGGGTTTGTGGGAAAAATTGGTTTTCTGCAGAGTATTGGAAAGAAAGATTGCAGAAGCTTAATTTGGAGGATAAGAGCAGCTGTGAAGAAGGCAATGAAGATGGGAATTAAGAGAAGGCATTTCAATTTTCAATATGATCCTCACAGTTATGCCTTGAATTTTGATGATGGTTGCCAACATGAAATTTTGGGGCCGCCAATGGAATTTCTCCAACTTCAGGGGCATCCAGGAAAGACCATTTGGGTTTATGTTCTGTGGGGAAGAACAATTTCAGGTGCAGAAGTTATCAGCTTGATTGTTGAGGGAGCTGCTTGCAATTTTTGACGTTTTTATAATAATAATGATAATGATACTACTATGTACTATTTTTATTTTTTGATTTCAAAATGATGATTGAAGATTTGAGAACGTAGTTTGGGTGAGAGTTTGGAAGAAAGGAAAATATTTTTTTTTACACTCTTAAGTCTTAACCAAGCAATTAGCATGGAAAATTATTGTGTTGATGAATATTTTCTTTAATTTGATTCTGTCATCCCTCCTTTGCTATAGCCTATCACGATATTTAATTAATCTAAAGATTAGCTATGTATATTTCTAAATTATTACAAACGCACGGGCGTGAAATATTCATTAATATTTATAAATCAAATGCTCATTAATAATATTTATAAATTAAAATTATTGAATCAGTATATAATACAATTTATCTACGTAAAAGATATTTATTAATTTATAAATTAAAATTACTCATTTAATAATATTTACAAATTAAAAATAGGGCACCAATATGTAATAAAATTTACATATAAATCCTGTCTACCATAGCACCACTGGTCCCATGGTCTAGCGGTTAGGACATTGGACTCTGAATCCAGTAACCCGAGTTCAAATCTCGGTGGGACCTTTATTTTTTGTTAATTTTTTTTTTCAGTCTCTTTCTCTGTTCTGATCCATGTTTCAGAAGCAACGGTAAATCGGTAATAGGTCCACCTTAATTTTTCTCTATTACCAAATCATAATCTATACAGCCAACTCAAACTTGAATCCTCCTAAATACTGCAAACACCATTTTCTTTTGTTTGGCTAAGACGAATGCTTATGATCTGGTGCACACACGGTTTTCTTTTGTTTGGCTAGACGAATGCTTATGATCTGGTGGAACT